GCACTGCTTGTGAACGGAACTCTCACTTGTTTACAATGGCGCTTTGAAGACGGACTTTCCCAAGATTAGATCTAAACGAAACTAATGAAAAACTGAAAATTAAACTGCAGTGACTTCAGGCTCCTCAATGAAACTGTGCAGCCTTTAAATGATTCTGAACCACCGTTAATTTTATCAAATTCAAAAGTTAAGTGGTTCCGAAATATAATATATAGAGATTACTGTAAATTACTGTTTCCACTCAGTTCAGTTTATAGGAACTCAGGCAGCAAATCCGAGCGAGTTGACTGACAAATGGAAATTAAAAACAACAAAACATAATTATAAATATGTACCTACATAAATATAAATTATAAATACGTACCTACATAAATACATAATTATAAATACGTATCTACATAAATACATAATTATAAATATGCACATACACTTAAGTGGATTGCATGCGACACATGGAGGTAATGTTCTGCCTTACCTTAGCCCTGGTGATGGTGCAGTGGAGGGCGTTGTTGACTGAGTCGTAAAGTAGAGAGAACTCAAGCAGACCCAGCGAGGCTGACGGAACGACAGAAAGAAAGAAAAAAAAATAGTACATTCATCTTTGGCCCCATTTATTCCAGTTATTTCTTTTTCTTTTTTTTGCTATTGTTAATATTGAATATCGTCAATGGTTCAGGCCAAGGATCTCATGGTCTGACATATTACAATTTTTAAAAAGGGAGTTCCTTCTATTTTCTAAATTTATACAGTTAAGTTCATGAAAAACTGGTAAATCTGGTAGATTGGTGAAAAAATCACAAACAAACGAGAGCATAATAATATTTGGGCTAAAGGTGTGAGGTGGGCTACATTATCCATATAATTATGTATTTGGGCTAAAGGTGTGAGGCTGGCATACATTATCCATATAATTATGTATTTGGGCTAAAGGTGTGAGGCGGGCATACATTATCCATATAATTATGTATTTGGGCTAAAGGTGTGAGGCGGGCAGACGGTGACCTACTTCCTTCGCTGTCGGGGGAGGACAGCTGTTCCTCGTCCACGGCGTGCGAGGCCTTGACGTAGCGGTTGATGGCCATGTCGATGTTGTCCAGCTCCTCCTCCGTGCCCAGGCTGGCCTTTCCCACGGACCGCGTGGAGCCCTCACGGCTGAATGCTGGTGGGGTGATGATGCATCACGTGTGTGTATGTGAGGGGGTAGGGTGGGGAGAGGGGGGGAGGGA